AACAGCAGCACTCTGGATTCCTGACAGGTAGACCACTAGGGAGTGAAATCACAGCCTGGGCGCTCCAGTGCAGGCCCAACTGAGAGGGCAGTGCTTATCACCACCATTGTGACAGCTATTCTAGACAGCTGTTCTCTGGCCTTGCCCCTCCCACCTGTGCCACAGTAAGCACCTGAACCCTGCTACCTGCACCTAGACCCTGGATACCTGTCCAGAATCCAAAGAGAAACTGTCTTCTTAATATTGGTGACTGAGAAGGTCAAATCCAAACTTGTATCCATTTCTAGCAACTGTGTGTGATTCTGGCTGTTTTCTTACCTGTAGTTCCCTTTTGCCCCACTTTCTTCTGCTATCTATTTAATCCTATGCCACTGTGTATGTTTTGAAAGCTAACTCAAATCCTTTCTGAAGTGAAGCAGGGCAAATATATTAAATGGTCATAATCTCCAGTAATCACTTGGTAAGCCACTGCCATGGTGTGTGAAGGGAGCAGCCGCTAAATGAGGCCCTGGAGGTGAAGGGCTCACTAACACTGTTCCAGGAGACCTGAACTACACCACAGCGGGCTGCCCTGCACCAGCCACAGTGCTGAAGGCTTCACCTAGACAGTCAAGCCATTTGGAGATGAGGATTGGGTGGCAGCACTCATCTGGGGGAAGGCCCAACACCAAAACTTTGGTTTTAGATTTAAAGTTGTCTTGATTCACTAAAGCAAATCAGAGGGTGACAAGAGCTTCTGATTTCCTACCTTCCTTTTTCTTATTACTTTTTTTTTTTTTAAGGAACAGGAATTCTGGCAGTTAAATTCCCACCAAAAAGTCCAAGGCACTAGGCAACCAGGCTGGTTTCATGCTGCACCAGGTGCTGACACTAGAGACAGTTTCAGGGAGGTAAGCAAAAGGGAGAAGAGGCTATGAAAATAGGGAGGCACTGCTGTCTCTCACTGGCCCACAATGGAGGCCAGGCCAGGGCAGGAGACAGCAGGAAGAGGACATCTGGCCCAATCATCCACACAGGACAGGCCTCATCCTGGAACCTCAGGATCTTCATAAACCTGTCACCTGTGGTATAACAAGGTTCCTGCTACTCTCAAGAACTTTTATAATTCCTTTACAGCCTACTAAGTGTTGCGGCCAGTCCAGCAAAAGCTGAGAGGATGACAAGATCCCTGGGTGGGAGAAGAAGTAGGCTGTTCACACATGGGCCCCAGCCTAAGCTGGCTGCCACTCCTGTGATCATGGGCAGTTCCCTCAATCCTCTGACCTGAGAGGCCTCCTCCAAGCCACCCAGCTTTGGCCTTCACACAACAGTCCCCACCACCGAATGTATGCCAGGACCATGTGAGGGTAGCTGAGTTGTATAACCTGAGGCCAGGCCCTGGAGGTGAGGAAGCAGCCAATGTGTCCAGAGCCTTCAAGTAGAACTTAGCACAGAGAGGCCAAAAAGCTGAAAGCCAGAAGCACTATCTATACACCATCACCTCCCTTTTCAGCCCAGAATTCTCCCCAGACTCCAGACTTCTCAGTATCTCCACTGGCATGCTGAGCAGACACTTCAATATGTCATCCTCATCAAACCTGCTGCACCCACAGTCATCCTCACTCCCAGGACTCTGCTCACAGGCCTCCAGGAAGTCACTCCAAAGGCCTGGCCACTTCTCAGACTCCTGATGCACAACAGGCTCCAGACTCCAATGTCTCCCACCTGGACCAAGGCAGTGGCCTACGCCTGCCCTGTCTCACATACAAGCCAGAGGGATCTTCCTAACCCTTCTCACACTTAATTCAGATGGAATCTGTCCTATGTTCAAACCACTTCTCTCCAGCTCTCCATCTGATTGAGTAAAAGCCAATGGGCCTTTTGATGTAGACCCCGAAGGCTTCATGCCAGTTCATGGAGCAGAGCATGTGGTCTGTGACAAGATAAGTACAGTTTACAGGTATCTGACATTGCTACAACATCCAGACACTGACCAAAGTATCTGTCTGGGACAGACTAGGAATTTAAGGAATGCTCTTTGCCAGAAGTAGTTTGAGAGACTCCACCCTATATCCCCTGTGGGCCAGACCTTTTCATGTTCCACCCTGACCCTACCAGCCCTTCTCTTTCATTGGCTCCAGCCTCCCTGGCTACTTTGTTCTTCTTTAAAAGCTCTGAGCACATTCCCACCTAAACCTGTACACTGCCACACCTCTCTGGGTACACTCTACCTCTTCCTCTAATCCTTGTGTATTCCACACTACAAACTACCCTCACTACTCCCCACCTACTCACTGGGTTGTTTTGGTCTTGCTATTCTCCACAGCACTCATGATATAACATGTTGTATGCTTTCCTTTCCATTACCACGCAAGCACCACAGGGGAGGTGCCTAGTACAGAGGTTGAGGTAGGAGTGTGTTTAGGGCGTTGGAGCAGAGCAAGGTGGCCAGGAACTCAGTAAACAATGTCCCAAAGAGAACGTGGGATGAGCTGCAAGGCAGAACCCAAAGCCTTGCACTGTGGGCAGACAACAACCGACCTGAGATCTGGGATGCTTCTGTAGGAGGACAAGGACCCAGAGAGACTGGGGGAGAGGGCCTGAAGGAGATAACCAAAGTCAACCAGGAAAGGTTTTATCTGCTTTGACAAAAAAAACTCAGGGATGACCCTGCAGGGAAGCTGGCCTCTAATGGTGCATTCTAAGCTCCAGAACCAGAGCACAGGATAAAGATGAGGCCAGATGAGAATGGTGTAGGCTGAGAGGAAAGAAATCAATCAAAAAACTGGCACTGGACTGAATGATAGAATGAGATGAAGGACAGAATGTAAGAGATATCCATGGTCAGGTCTACAGACATTTGAGGGAAGTGAGGGAGAGGAGGGGTGAAATAACATCTGGCTCATGATAGAAAGCTGTCCTCAAATACCATCATGTTACTACCCATCAGAACAACAGTCAAAGGCATGAGACACCTTCCTACCATGGCTGATCTCATGCAAGGAGGCTTCTCAGCAACCAGCTACCTCTATTCCTGCAGGGTTTGAGTTCTAAAAATGTCCCTCACAAACCTCTTTCATGAGTCACACACTGCATTTCAGGAGATTCTTTTCTGAAAGGCTGGTGTTACTCTGACTTCTCCACTGCTGAATTCCAAGTGGGTGCCCTCCAAGCAAATCCACCTACCTAACAGTCAACACAAGAAAGAACAGAAAAGTAACATGGGACAGGGCTCCACCCCCATGGCATCGCAGGGTAGGTAAGGAATATGGAAAGAAATGCTCATACCAAATAGTTAAGGATGAACAGCAATCCCAGGTAATACCATTTGTTTGCTGAAAATTTACCTGGGATATAAAAACTTATTAAATATGTGCTTGCTTCGCAACACATATACTAAAAAATTATTAAATAAAAAGATACTAATGATTATCTTTAATTCATATTAGAGCTGAAAAAGAAGAGAAATCCACAAGGACTATAAACCTTGAGTGACTTGACTGATTTGGGAGGTGGCCACCCAAGCAGAAGGAATCACACAGGCAAAGGTGCAGAGGGAGGATCAGAGACGGCCGAGCAGAAGAGACACCAGCCCTGGTTTTTAATAGGTAAATGTTGCCAGGCATGGTGGTGCACACCTGTAATCCCAGCACTCCAGAGGCTGAGGCAGGAAGATTACTGCAAATTCAAGGCCAGCCTGAACTACACTGTAAGACTTTGTCTCAAAAAAAAAGTGTATGTCCTAAGAAAGTCAGCAAAGCTATAGGGACAGATGAACCCAAAACTAACTACCAAGGTTCAAAAGAGATCTTACCAGTTACCAAATGGGTAGAACATAGGAAAACAAAGGGTGAATTCTGGGAAGGTCTGTGGGAACCTGAGTATGTAGCAGGAGAAACAGGCATGCAATTCATGTGCCCATTAAAATAAACTTGACCTTGATATTCTTTTCAGCATAAAGCTGGTCTTCCTTACATTTTCTAAGATATCAAAATTCTGTATAAACTTTTAGGGGAAGACAGGAAGATGAAGGAAAATATTTCAGAGCTAAATACAGTGATCACACATATACCAAGTCAAACATATTAATGAGGCATGAATGAACAGTAACTGTCTCCAGGGCTGAATAAAAGACTGGATACTTTATCAGGGAAGTCATGAAAAAGCCTGCTGTCAGAGCCCCTTCTGCATAGAAGAGAGAGCTTTCTTCACAAGCAGACCCCACCACCTCCAACCAAAGGAAGATTAGACTGAGAGCATTTTCTTATAAGCAACAGTGAAAAATCTGTTTCCAATTTAACCTGCAACAGTGTAGGCTCTGACCAGGATACATTATTAATTAGTTAAAGGAGAAGCCCCAAGCACAAGGTCCTGAGTTCTATCCCCAGTACCAAAAACAAACGAACAACAACAAAAAAAGAGAACCCCCATTTGTAGTTACCCATTGGTTTCAGTATCTTCAAACACCATGACCTAGAATTGACAGTACAGCTAACTCTCTATTTACTGTGGTAATAGGGATTTCAGGAATGATAGCAGTTGACTGGGAAGCAAAAACAATCCCACTGGATAATCAGCAGGGCATCAATTACTGCACTAAGGATGATGGCTTCCAGTGACCATCAACTGAAGATCTAGTGGGTACCAGCATTGTGAGGTTTAAAACAGGTATTTCCACTTCAAGTCAAGTGGTCTAATACACCACCACTGGCAACCCAGCAGGCAGCAAAGCCCTCTCCAGTTTGTCAGGACATGAGACATGGGGAGACAAAGAGCCATCACCCCACGCCTACCCAAAGCAGTCCCTCTGCTAAGCAGGTGGTATGTGATCATGTGAAAGGAAACATGGCTAGGCCAAGATCTTCTGGGCAGAGAGGTACAAGAGGGTCCCAGGGTGCTGGAGGTTGGACCACCAGGCCCAGCAGGAGAAAGGGAGAGAGTTGGCTGTACTGGCACAAGAAGCACCCCCCAGCAAGCTGCAAAGCATTTCTAGGAAGGAGAAAAGCAAACCGCCGTCCCACCTCGGGCTGCGCGGTCACAAGTGAGGCAGGGCTGGGCCCAGTCGCCATTTGGGCGGGAAGCCAGCCCCAGGTGCGGCAGGAAGGGGTGGCGTTGGCTCAGTGGTTGTAGCTCCTCGCTCTGACCCATTGGGGCCCCTGTGCGGTGCTGAGGGCACAGCGAGGCCTCAGGCGCTGTTGGGCAGGGACACACACACATACACACAGAGAGAGACAGACCATTAGAGGATGTGCAGCAGCCGTGCAGGGGGCATGGCCTGAGGCCACCCAGAGCCCTGCCTCACCCCTGCTGTCCCCGTGCTTGGAAGCCAGTCATGAAGAACCTGTTGACCACAATCTGACCCTGATTATGTAACTCATGCTCAAGGTCAGAGGGAACTAGATAACTTCATAGTTGGGGCATCATTTAGCCCAGTGGAAGCCCGGCAAGGCCGATGGCTCTGGCTCAAAATAAGGAGGAGACTCACAACCAGGCTCCTGTGCCCTCTGTTTTGTTCCTGCATGTGGAATGTTCCACATACTATTCATGGACATGATGCTGTTTCAGCTCCTTGCTCTGTATCCTCTAGCTTCTAGAGAATAATGACTGTAAGAGGCATGGAAAGAAAAGAACCACTTCCCTGACTATACATCACAACCACAGCATTGTAAACAGAAAAAGGCAATTTAAAGAGATCCTCTTCTGGGGGGACAGCAGAAGGGTCCTTGAGAGAAACAAACCAATTTCCCTACTTACAGGGTAATTTCATGGGGGGTGGTGTACAAACTTAACCTCAAGGGAGACCTATGAAGATTAAAGTTGAATCATTTTCAAGTGGTTTCACAGGGGTTACAACCATTGCTTAAGCAAAGCAGTTCAAACTAAAAGAGGAAATGACAACTAAAAATGGCACAAGAATATGCTAACTTGCTCCATTCTCCATAGTAATTTAGAATTTCTAGAGACAGGAAGTCTGATTTTGACATGCAAATCTCCCATTTGACACATTTCTCAAACTGATCATGGCAACCCCTACAAATGTAAAGTCTAACTGAACCTGCAAAAGCAGGAATTGTTAAATGGTCTAGTGACAAAACCATTAACCAAGCAAGGACTGACAGGAGTTTGTCAAACTACAAACAACTTCCTTTAAAAAAAACACATTTTCTGTTATGCGGACATAGTGTTATTAATTCCAAAAACCACAAAAACCTGCACTTTTGTTTTTGCATCTAGAAGACACAATTTCTGTATCCCTGCCATCATCCCTGCCCCACCCCACAAGGCCATCAGAGCCACCTTTCTAAGTGTGGGGTCCATACTGTTCACACAGGACTGTGAAGGTGGAGGACTATTCTTGGAATCTTTCAGTGAACAACCAGGATGCCAATATGGTTCAGAGACAAGCACCCATCACTTTCTGAACACCACATCTACCCCCTTAAATTTCTTGTAAAAGAAGGACCAAGACATATAGTGATCTGACATGCAAACCCAAAATACAGGCCAGCTCCGCCCCACACAGATTCAGCCATGCAACCTAATCAGAGAACTCCCTTTGCACACTAACCACCTATAAAGGTTTCTTTGCATTTTCCCCTCTTTGAGATAGAGAAATCCATTTTCCATCCTCTATGATGCTGAAATAGAATACACTGAGCCATTCAAGAGACCTGCAGCTCAGTCAGTAGAAAAACATTTAATATGAGATTAAAGAAGCAAGTATCAAGAAAGAGCATTTGTTTTTTTTCGGACTACCAGAATCAGTTCCCCACTGTTTGAGCAGTAGAACAATCCTTTTACTGGTAGACCTTCTCAGGAAGAAAATAGTAAGACCTGCCTTAGTGGCTATCTTCTCCTGAGGACCCAGGAAACCAAAGGGAATACTCTACCCAGATGCACAAAGGAGACCCACAGAGCACCCAAGGAACTAAAAGCCCCTCAGTGACCATATTTCAATCCAGACTAAGGGCATTGTTGTCTGGGTTGCCAAAAGCTAAGAATTTAGAACAGAGTCGGGCCCTGAGGTGACCACCACTCTCTCGGCCTCAGGGTACCCATGGTACCATACTACCTACCTCCCTTTCCCCTGCTGCCACATCTGTACAAGGTGCCCAATCAGACAAGGGGCAGGGAGCACTTTGATTACTCACAGCCATGATAAGAGGCTGGTGATCCCCCAGCCTTGCCGTACTCCTGCTCTGAGTAGCTGGTGGACAAGTTGGGCTGACTGGAGCCACGGCCAAAAGTGATTTGGTTGCTGCCCATGCCAGTGGCCACCTGGGCCATGCGCTCTTTGGTTTTGAGAGCCTGGGCCCGCTCAGCCTTCAGCCGCTCCTCATCCTTGAGAAGGGACACCAGCTGCTTTGACTTCTCACGCACATTGATGCCCTGGTCCTTGCCATCACGGTCAATGTACTGGAAATCCTTCAGAGTCTGGATGGCGAAGATGTTCTCACGGCACTGCTGGGCCACACGCTCGGAGCCCGTCTTGATGAGGTAGTCCAGCAGTGTTAGTGCTTTGTACACGTGCCGCCAGTTCTTGCCGTGGTCATTGAGCCGCTTCCACACCATACTCATGATCTCTGAGAAGGCCACCACATTGTAGGTTAGGTCGGCAATCTCGGTCATCAGAGAGCTGGATGGACCCCATGGGTCGTTGGAGGTGGCTTCCCGGACTTTAATTTCAGCTTCCGAGTAATTGTTCACAATGTTTTTCATCTGCCGTCTGATAGACGAAGTCGTCATTTTTATTTGCTTTGCTACAAATTTAAAGCCCTTCAAAGAGAGAATTTCCTTTTCTCAGTTAGTCCACACCCTGTGAAGGTCCAGTTTCTGTAATCAAGATGGGATAAGAACCCTGAAGTCATATCCTCCTCTGAAGCCTCAGATCCAAGAAGTTAGCCATGACCTAAAGAGAGAAAACACACTCCACTGTGACACAAGCACCTCATGAGAGTGAGAGAGCCTGGCCAAGACACTTCCATAAGTGGCAGGTACTGAGTATGAGTGGGTGAGCTTTGTGAGCAGACAGACTGCAGGCTATCCATCCTGGGGTACAAGAGGCCATCTTGCTTTCAAAGCTAAAACAAGATTACTAACACCAAAGCCAGGTGTGGTAGTATATGCCTGTAATCCCAGCACTCAGGAAGCCGGAAGCTTGCTGTTGAGTTCAAGGCTAGCTTGAACTGCAAAGCAAGACCCTGTC